ACCAGATGGGAACTGGGGGCTAGGGAGAAAGGCCCAACGGGGGCAGCGCCGGGGTCTGGGCAGAAGAGAGGCCCTCAGGGAGAGCCCGGAGGCTGCAGCCGCCGCTCATTTGCATCATAAGTGATTGGCTTTCCCTGCTCGTCCCTCATTAGGACACAATGGACAGTTGTGTGCGGTGCAGCAGATCCATTTACCGAGGGAGAGAGGAGGCGAGCAAGAGTGACTGCTGGGCCCTAGAGAAGGGGTAGGTGTGGGGGCAGCCGCCTCCCCTCCCCTGCTGCCTGGGGCCTCTGGGACTCTCACGCTCTCACACACAGAGCAGGGACTTTAGAGAGTAAGCAAGTCCCTCATTTTACAGATGGGGAGACTGAGGTGGTAGGAGGGGAGGAGAGTTCCGAGGCCAAGCTCACGGCAGAACTGGGGTTTGGAAATCTAGCCTCTCATTAAGGGACTCACTCCACTTGCCTGCAGTACCTTCGCCATCCCCACCTGGTGGTTCAGGGTCGCCCTGGTCTCTTTCCTTCTCTTCCAGGCCTGGGCTTCCATCAGTTCCCTCTCCCTTGTCCATCTCGTCTCTCTATTCCTGCCCCTCTCCGTCTTGTCTCTTTCCCTCCCGATTTCCAGGCAGCTGGGGTAATTACTAAACTTCTAATTAACCCCTGCCCTGACGCGGGTGGGGTTGACAGGAGAGACAGTGATTTTGTTTTTGTTTTTTTTTAAGATTTTATTTATTTATTTGAGAGAGCATGGGAGGGGAGACGGTCAGAGGGTGAAGCAGACTCCCCACTGAGCAGGGAGCCCGATGCGGGATTCAATCCTGGGACTCCAGGATCATGACTTGAGCCGAAGGCGGTCGCTTAACCAACTGAGCCACCCAGGCACCTGAGAGGCAGTGATTTTGAAACTGTCTTGGTGTGTTTGGGGGATCAGTGGGGGGAGAACTGCTATGTGTTGGGCCTATTATAAACCAGGCACTAGGACAGACATTTGACATAGTTTATCTCATTTCATCTTTTCAGTCTTGCCAGGTAGGTATTCTTAGAACTGAGAGAGTAGGAGAGGTTCAGAGAGGTTGGGAAACACGCTGGAGAACACCCAGCAGGCAAATGATAGCTAACTCAAGAGTCCCTGCTCTTCCACCCCACACCCTGGCATAGGGGCTAAAGTGGGGTATGGGGCCCACTGATTCTGGGCTCCTGGGTGGCACAACCTTGCTGAAGGAGGGCCCTTGCTTTGTTGCCCCCCCAGGCTGCACCTGCCTTTCCCCACAACCCTCTCTACCTTCTGGCTCCCACCTTCTTCTGGGCCCCTTTTGCCTGGTGGTGAAGTCTCACAAATGCAAGCTTAGGCCCCCGGGGGATCCGGGGAGACCATGATCAAGAGGGAGAAACTGACAAGCCTAGCCCCAGACCCTCGAGGTCTCCCTCCTCCTGCCACCCCAGCTCCCTGTCTGCCCCTCCCCTTTGTGGGTCAAACTCATCAGCATCTGCTTCTGTCTCATTGTGCTCTGGGGGAAGGGGAGAGTTGGGCGGGGGGCGGGGGGTGTGAGTGGGTGTCTGTGTGCATGAACATAAGGCCTCCGGGTTCATTCTGACACTGAATGAAAAACTCACCAATTATTCGTCCAATCTCATTAATATGCAGACAGACATCTGTTATTTAGGAATCAACAGCAAAGGCATTTTCGTGGGGGGAGGGGCGCTCCCGCACAGGCCCCTGTTCCTTCTGCTTTTGGGGTGGGCAGCTGCTGGGGAGCCTCCCCTCTCTCTGACCCTCACTCCCACCCACGAGGAGAGGGCGTCGGGGATTTACTAGAGAAGGAGACAGACTCGGCTGGAAGGAGGAAGGTGGGAGAGGGGCTGCACTGTGTAGAAGGAACTCTTCTGTTGGCAGAGAGCAAAAGGAGGGGGGGACACCACAGAAGAGCCAAACCCCTTTCTCGGGGAAGCCAGTGTGGAGGCAGAGACCGCTGTATCAGGATTGCCTGCTAGGGTCCTGGTGACCACTGGGAACCTCAGGGACATGACCCCTTCCCCCCACCTCCCTCAGCCTGCAGGACCAGTCTGAGCCTATCTGGGGTGAGGTCACCATGGTAACGTGGGGTTCTCACCCAGACAATGCAGAAAAGTTTATGGGGGAGTTCAGAAAATCGGGGACCAAAGACTTCAGCCCGCCTTTGGAGGACTCATTAACGCTCTCTCTAGCCCTCAGGATAGATGAGGGAGCAACACACAGAGACCTCCCCCTTCCTGTCTTTTCCTGAGCACAAGTAGCCCCCTCCAAGAGGCCTCTCCTGATTCCCTCGGGCAGGCTCAGACGCGGTCAGGCCTGGATGTGAAAGCGGCAGGGAATAAAGGCTGACCCCAGCTCAGCCACCTATGAGGGGTCAAACAGCTCTTCTGTGGCCTTTCTCCTCTCCGACTCTTCCTCAACAACACAGTGAAGTAGATGTGATCAGCTCTTTTCCAGGTGTGAAGCCTGAGGTTCAGACAGGTGCGGAACCTCACCAAAGGCTCCCCAGGGAGGAAGGGGCAGAGCTGAAACCGAGGCCCTCTGCTTCCAAATCTCCAGCTCTTTTTCATGACTGTCCCTTGAGGGAAGGCTGGAGTCCCAAGGGGATGACCCCCGGTCAGCTGAAGCATTTCAGGGGTTAGACCATGTCCCGCCCCTACCCGCACCCCTTCCTTCTCCCTCCTCCCTCCAGGGCAGGCCGATTGCGGGGTTAAGAAACACTGGCAGCATCACAGCGTGATTAGTTGTTTTATTTCATTAAATGATTAACGAGGCTACATTGTTTCCCAACCGGGTGTCTAATTTGTGGGGGAAACAGCTGCGGAGGAGGAAGCTGGGTCTGACTGGGTCTGACTCTGGCATCTGGGGTGGGGGTAGGGGTAGAGTCCTCTCCCTCCAGCCTGCAGGGGCCTTTGAGGATCTAGAAACAGCCCCATTCCCTCCTCCCACCCATTGAGCTCCTCAGCCCAGCAGCACAGGCCCCTCCCCAGGAAGTCAAAAGTCTGGCAACCCAGACCTGCACAGGAGACCACAACCTGTTCCCGGTGGTATTGGAAATGTATTAAACTTTGGGAGTTTCCCCCGCTGATTTATTTTCCTAATTTTGTTCGCTTTAGGCGGATATTGAAATGCATCTGCATTCCCTGAGCGAGGCAGCAGAGAGCAGTTGGGAGAAGAGAGGGGCCCAGACACTCTGCACTTCGGTGGCTATAGGCTTGAGTAGGTTTTGTATCAAAGTCCAAAGTGGGGGGAAAAAAGCCATGGCCCCAAATCCCAGGTTGATGGTGTGGCAGGTCCCTTTGGGGGAGGGGTCAGTCCTCAGAGCCCCCTAGCTGGGCCCCAGCCCTCTCCAGCAGCTTCCATCCAGGACTCGGGACCCTGGAGGAGGGTCTTGGAGTCAGCTCCTAACCTCACCTTGGGTGCCCAAGACCCCTGAAGCTGTCCCAGAATCCTTGAGATTAGCTGAGATGGACCGGGACAGGGTCCTGTAGGAGAGGGAGGGAAAGGGCTGTCTGATGAGCCAGCAGTAGATGGGATTTCCTTTCCTCTCAAGACTGGGCCCTGGCATAGGGAAGGAGAAGCTGTTTTAAAGGACACATCTCAGAGCCAAATCCCCCTAGTCCCCAACACCTCATCCAGATACCCATCTATCCAAAAAACCAAATCTGGTCACTTCCTCTCTGCTTGAAATCCCTGGTGCCTTCTCACATCCTCAGAATGAAGACCTGGTTCCTTTGTGGGCCCTGCGGTGGCCTTGATGTACCTTCCGGGCCTTGTCTTCTGCCCCCCTTGTCAGGGCAGCCCCAACCGTGCCACACTCTTTCTCATCGCCACGTGTTTGCACATGCTATCCCCTCTGCTCAGAGCGCCTTTCCTACCCCTTCCACGCCTGCCAAACAAACTCTCCTGCAGCCCTCAGGACCTGGCTCAGAGGATTGGGCACCTGAGGCTGTAAGGAGCTCCCACAGGCAAGTCACTGTCACACCTGGGGTACCTCTCTTCCCCGTTGGGCTGGCCTCCAGAGCCCAGAGACTGGTCCTTTCACAATCCCAAGCCGGTGTCTAGCACACAGTTGGTGCTCAGTGCATATCCGCTGAATGAACGAGGGAGGGATGGGCTACGAATTCGGGGGGAACCCAGCAGATGGGAGAGTGAGGTTTGTGTTCTATCCCAGAGTGTGTGTCTGGAAGAACTGGCTGGGGCTGGGGCTGGGGGAGGGGACCGCCAGGGATGGTTCCTGGGGGAGAATGTCACCGAAAAGAGGCCAGTGGGAACAGAGCCAGGGAGGGAATGCAGGACAATGTGAAACCAGACTCCCAAGAAAACAGACCAGCACTGTCTTTCGAGACAACAGGATCTCCGCCAGCCCCTCCACCAGCTTTCCTCCTCTCTGGGGTTGGCGTTGGGGGTGGGGGAGGGTGGGCAGTGACCTTAACTCACAGCTGATGTTCCCTCCAAAATCATCCAGGAGCTCAAGACGGAGAGGAGGTGAGAGCCTCTGCCCCCACCTCCAAGGAAACCCCAGGATCAAACTACTGCCCCTTGGGTAACTTCACTGCACATAAGAATCAGCTTCTGTGACATGGAGGTTTTTGAAACTTTCCCTACCCTCACAACTCCTAGAGCACCAGCAGATTCCAAGCTGGGGGTGGAGGTGGTGTACAAGGGGCCTGGACCACTTCAGCAGGACCCCTCCCACTCGAGCAGGGGGCCCCAGCTGGGCTGAGGAATGAATTGCACATCAGTCCACTTTAAAACCCCCAAATGGCCTTAGGATTGTCTGGCTCATTAACTGAGATGAATACTCCCATGATCCCTCACTCCCCCACCTCTGGCTCCTAAAAGGACACTGCTAATCCGACCCATGGCTTTTTTTCCTCTGTGGGCACAGACAAGAAAGTTCTTCCTGAAGTCTAACTTCCCCCCTCCTGCTGCTAGAAATTGGTAGATTGGGTTTTTAGAAAGCAACAAAACTAAAGCCACAGCCGTTTTCCATGGACATGGGCTTTATTTGGGGACAGCTGGGGGAAGGGATTGAGGGAGCTAGGACTGTGGGTAGATGGGGGAGGGGCTTCTCAACTTGCTTTTTAATTTAGTGTGTGTTGCCTGGAGGTTAGGATGAGTGAGAACAGCTGTGGAAGGGAAAGGAGAGGAAAAGGGAAGGCCACAGAATGGACACTTTCCTTAGGGAAGGAAGCCAGGGCCAGGATATGGATACCGGGGCTGGAGAGGGAAGGCACCCTTCATAGACTAAGACTCAACCAAAGTCACTGCTCCATGCTTGCTTCCCCAACCCCCTCCCCAGCCCAGCTCCCAGCCCAGATGCCTGTCCCGCTGGCTTCCTCCACTTGCTGTGGGGAGGAGGGGGATGAGGACGTGGGGAATGGTGGCACCCTTCTGCCTTCAGCTCTCCTGCCCAGGAGAAGCGCTCCCTCAGCCTGCCCTGAGGTCCCTACCAGAGTCAGGCGGTCCGGAAGTCAGGTGCGGCAGGGAACAGCTGTGCCCTCACCGCCCCTCCTTACACTCTGCCCCACGCCGGCCCCTCACATGAGGTTGCAGCTCTTGGCTCGATCCTTGTGTATCTCGCTCTCGGTCCCAGTCCCCCGGTCCGGCCGGCCTGCCAGCTGAGCAGATCTCTGCAGTCCACGGCGTGAGTCAGTACGACGCAGCTGCCTATGGCCACGGCCAAGGGAGGCCACTGTGGCCACGTGGAAGACATCCCTGACGCTGCGCTCAGAGGACCGGGAGGAGCACTCCACGTAGGACACAGCCCCTACCTGCTTGGCCAGCACAGTGCCCTGGAAGGATGGAGTGTATGGAGGAAGTTATGGGGCTTAGCCTGCAGCTCAGCGAGGGGCAGGGAGTCTGAGGGCGTCGGGGTGGGGGTGTGGCCAAGGGATGGGATCGGAGGTCAGAGGTCAGAGGTCAGGGCAAGGGACAAGTAGGGTGGTTTTCAAATCAGAGATAGAGAGGGGCAGAGGTGAGAGGTCTAGGCTGGGACCAGGTCAGAGGTCAAGAGTCCCACCTGCTCATGTGTAACAGGGATAAGCCTCTGCTTGGACAGCTCCCTCAGTGTGGCCAGGTCGGTGCGCATGTCCAGTTTACAGCCAACCAGCACAACCTTGGCATTGGGGCAAAACTCCTGAGTCTCCCCTTGCCACTATTTGGGGGGAAGAAAACAGTTATGGAGGGGTAGGAGGAGGCACACGGTGAACCCTTGCTCCATGCCAGGAGAACACCCTTCCTCACATCATGCAGAAACCATGCACCCCTCTGGACTCTCCCATGCGAGCAAGAAGGTAGGAATGGTGGGCTTGGCCTGGAAGCAGGATGGGGTGTAGGAGATGGGGAGGGAGGAAAGGGCTGGGGTGGGGCTGTGGGGTCAGGGGCCCTGCTTCTACCTCAGTCGCCATAAAGGGTCTACCGGCCTGAAACCTTCCCATTCCCACCCCCTTTCCCAAATTAGTTCCTGAGAACAGACCAGTCTGCCCTCCCTCCCCCATCTGGGAACTAGGGCTGCTTTAGCTGACTTCTGTCCATTCAACGTGGGCTTTTCTCATGGAAATAGAGGCCTGGAGAGGAGACCACAAGGCTCTCCGGAACTCCTGGAGCAGCATTCCCATCCCCTCCATCTGGGGCTCCCACACCCAAGGATATGCGGAGGATGGATAAGGAATCCCTTGAGTACTTCTCCCTGCCCTCCTCTATCTCCCCCAGATGCTGAATCCAGCTCTGAGGACAGACTTTCAGGAAGCAGGGGGTGGGGGGGTGAGAGGGATGGGGAAGGACGAGAGCTTCACACACTCTCCAGCTGATGACCATGCCCCAGACATCACTCCCTCCTCCCGACCCATGTTGTGTCAGGACCATGGTTTCTGTCCCCCTCAGTCTAGCCAGGCTGCTTCCCCAGGCTCCCACCTTTTTGAGGACACTGTCCAGTGTTTCTGGTCGGCTAATGTCGAAGCAGATGAGCACAGCATCTGAATCAGGATAGGCCAGAGGCCGGACGTTATCATAATAAGAGGAACCTGAGAGAAGACAGGGAGGGAGGGGACAGATGAGGGTCTTGAGTGGGTGGGAGGCCTGGAAGGGAATGGGAGACCTTACCAATCCTGGCCAAGGGACGCTAGGAACAGAGAATGGAAAAGAGCAATTATTAATATCCCTCAAGGAGTCTGGGTTTCTCCAAGGAGGGGAGCAGGGAGAGGGGAGGTTAGATGGCAGAAAACAGCTCTCCACTTCCCTAGGGGTTTCTCTAAAAGTAATCATTCTTAATCTTTTCTGAGTCTTTGAGAAGCTCATGAAATCTCTGGACATTCTCAAAATTTTGCATATGCTTTCTGGGCTTTGACAGACATCTTCTAAAGCCCTCCAGGGGAGCTGAGTAAAATAAAAACCCTCCTCCCTCTTTTGGAGGAGGAGGAGGGGCAGGGGCAGAGCTCTCCCACCCATTGGGACATCTCAGATTTCTACACTTCAGTCTATAGAAGCAGTTCCCCACCCCTCAAAGAAATTCTAAATGTCTTTTCTAAACCCAGCCCTATCTCCTAAGAAACATGTTCCAAAATAAATCCATTCTTCCCAACTTTCCCAGGTAGGCAGAATCCAGCTGAGAGGACTGGATACTGGGCTTTCTCTCTCAGGACAAGATTTCTGTGTCTCTGCAAGCTCTGCCTCAGTTTCCCCGGCTTTAAGCAGAAAATTGATTTTCCTTCCTCCTAAAATTGGGTGGATGGGCTGGGCTTACCTGGAGCCCAAGAGTCTAGCCAAGGGAGGGGCAAGGTGGGGGCCTAGGAAGTCAGGGTGACCCCAGGGACTTGGCTACCTGAAGTGTCCCACATGTTGAGCTCAATGCGGCGCTTGTCGATCTCAAAGCTCGCGGTGTAGTTCTCAAACACGGTGGGGACATAACTCTGCAGAGAGGGATGGGTCAAGATGAGATGCTCCAGTCTTCATCCCAGACAAATGCCTTCCTCACTCCCACACAAGGTCCAGCCCAGCCCCTGGACACAAGTTGGTCCGGTTTTGGGCAAAGGGGAGATCCCAGGAGCGGCTGCCTCAGCGGAATATCTGCTAGGTTCCCAGACCCCCTCCCGGTCCCTTCAGCCCCTAGTTCTTCCCCTCTCCAATGCCCAGGACCCCCGACATTCCCCTAGCGTCCCCTCCTGGATCCTCTGGTTATCCCAAATCCCATTCATCTCACCCTGCTCCCCAATTCCTCCCACCCCAATCCTCTGCAGTCCCCCAGAGCCCCCAACGTCTCCCTCGGTCCCTGGTTTTCCGAGCCCTTCTCTCTCGACCCTGGTTACCCCGGCACCCATTTCGGTCCGTCCCTAGGGCCCTAATCACCCATCCCCGCGGCCTCAGCGCCCTCCTCCCAAGACGCGGGTCCCTCACCCCGGGGTAGGCGTCCTTGGCGAACACCTGCAGCAGCGCCGTCTTGCCGCACTCCGCGTCCCCCACCACCACGATCTTGCAGCGGCCGCTCTGCCCCTCCATAGTCCCGGCTACGCGCCGGCCCCCTGCGCAGCCCCCCTCCGGGGCCCCGCTGCCGCC